TAGGCCAATATTTCTGGAATCAATAAAACATGAAAAATGAAAAATGAAAGTGGAAACTTTATACTCCATTCTTTTATATTAGTTCTCCCACTTTTTACTCTACATAGATTTAAAAAATTTAAGATTGATTAAAATTTTATAATTAAGTGTTAAGATAACAAATTTTTTAATGTAAAGTATAAATTTTTATTACTTTAAATATAATGATACAAAAGTTTATAACGTACTTTAAAAAAGGCTACTACGTGGTTACATGTATAATAAATAAGACAATCAAACAATGAACAATCACATGATTTTAACTAACAAATCATTGTTTTATCTCTATAAATAAACTTAAATAATATGAATAAAATTAAAAAATTAGCAGTTAATACCTTATTTAAATTAAAGATAATACAACTAAATTAAAATACTCAAATTTAATAAATGAGACAACGGAAATTAAATAGATGGAGTACTATTTTTTAAACTAAACATATTCAAAAGTAATGATAATGACAATTTCGTCAAATAAAGTGTTTGTTTTTTAAATTACTTAAAATGTAAGATAAATAGAAGGAAAATATATCATAAGAAGAGCATGCACCAATTCCCCTTTTAAGTATTATTTAATTTGAAAAAAAATGAAGTTCTATTTCTATTCCCCTTTTTAACTAATTTTTTCTTATTTAAATAAAGAAAATGTCTCCCTCTCCTCAAATGAAATAAACTATATAAAAGAAAACTTAGGGGAATACGTAATGAAGACGAAGCAGAGAGGATAGGATACCGATACTCCCTACGGAAAACAAAGATGGTTAAGCAAAATGCACCGTTGATGATTTTGGAACCAAACACAATGTTTTGCTTTCATAGTTAGGAACAACTCCTTTTAATTGGAAGATAGGGACAGCCATATGTAATAAAACATTGAGATGGGAAGTTGATATGATATAATGGATTGACATGGGTATTTTTCTTCATCTTATTTCAAAATTTCTCTTTCTTTGCTATTCATGGTTATTAGAGCTTTAAGAAGAGGAGATGATTGTAAATTCAATTTTGTGGGGAATCAACATGTACTAGTTTCTTCTTCTTCTTCTTCTTCTTCCTTTTTAATGAGAACATGTATTAATTTTAAGTAGGCTTAATTCAGCAGTCTTACCTTTTAAAGTCAAATATAAAATGCTTGAACACTACTTCAAACATATATAGTATCTCAGAGGAGGAAAGCATAGATCAACTTTTGGAATGGTCTTCAATTGATGACTAGGAAGGTGTCTTGAAAAGAGACAAAGATTTTGAGATATGCAGATTTTTTTTTTTTTTTTTGATTCTATAATTTTTTTCACATTTTAGTTTAGGTTATGAGTCTTCTTCTTCCTCCTCATCAACATTGCCTTAACCAAATTTGATAGATGTTGTGAGTTCATTTCATTTTCTTTAATTTTCTTCAATGAATTGTATTTATCTTTTTGGTCCCCTCAATTTTCTTCTTCTTCTTCTTCCCCTTTAATATAGAAAGGGATAATTATTTCTCATTTTCTAAATCTCTTTTCACCCTATTGGTCTATTTCAAAATTTTGAATTTAAGACTTTTGAACTTAAAATCTCAAACTCTTCTATAAGTAGTACAAATGGGAATGGCAATAAAAATATGAAGTGAGAGTTTTTTATTTTGGGAATATTGTCTAAGAAGTAGGATTTACTAAACAAATTGGCTACACATGCATTATATTATCATGTACATGATGGAGACATACAATCTTATCTCACAGGTTTCTTGTAGCTTTAGTTGCTTAATTTTGTTAATATAATTCTTTTTGTAGGTTACAAACATGTTAGTCATTTCATGGCTACTGTGGTGGCTTTGCACCTTCATGAGTGTGCAAGATGATGAAGACACAAGGTTTGGCCACAAACACATCACCCTTATATTTTATTTTAGTATTACAAAATATACCAACATCAACTTCAAAATGAAAAAGATCATAATTATCTATATACTTTTCTCACTTAGATATAGTCTTTTTTAGTGGCTTTATCCGAAGATGGTTTAATGGAAGAAAGGCAATGCTAAGTACTGAGGCTACAACTGAAGGTATTAATCCCTATCCTTTTGTGGATATTCCTT